CGAAGAGCGCAAGCATGTGAGGTCTCAAGAGCATCAGTTGCACCGACAAGTTGGTCACACGCATGCACACCGCGGTGCATGCGCGCCAGATAGGTGTTGTCCACTGATCAACTTGCACTCGCTTGCGTGTGCACACCTGCTGGTGCATATTGATTACGTAACGAATTATTGTGACTTTAGTACGGTGTTTAATCCATTTAACTGCCAAATTGATAGTTGTGGATTCGATTAACTAACCAAAGTCGCTAGTTTATTTTGTCAGAACCCGAAATCCTAACTACGTGTGGTGGAAAATTTATCTTCTGGCTTATACTGTACCGTGCTAGCCAAGACAAAGTAAATGTGAACTGGCTTGAAACAGCAACTGTAAAGCACAGTATTGCTTGTATGGGTTTGTCAAACTTTACCACTCAACCATTTCTCACATCAACGTCTGTGTTTTCGTTGACTCCCAAACCTAGGATCCTTCGATTCCAATGCGGCTGTGAAGAAGGAGGTACGTCTGTGATTTTGAAATTTTTTGTTTCCATGTTCATTTGTTTTCTTCTCTTTACTTATACAACTTGGACGTCAACGTTGTTTCCCACTGGTTCACACAGTACTGTGATATTCTTACTTAAGCCGAAGAAGCGCCTTACATCAGCCTTTTTGCAATATTACCTGTGCGTGTGCAATTCTTATAGCTCCAGATCTCATTTTCTACTTAACGACTTTATTGATTGGTCGAACTGTTCCTACGTCGAACTGGTGCCATAATACAAGACCTTGTATGCATAATAACCTGAGTTCCGTTCTTTGTTGTGGCAATTAATTCGTTTTTTAGCAGGTTCCATAATAGAGATCGGTATATGGAACTTTTATTTTTCATAGCTAAAGGTTCCATGTTGTCCTGGCTATAACGAAATGACTACGACGGAGTTGCTGGCTATGGAAACGAAAAGGTGCGGCACGCCAATCGGTCGCGCGGAGGAGATCAACCAATGCGCCAAGCAAAGGCGTCACTCCATTAAAACAATCAAACTCATTCTGCAGTTCAACTTTCCGTACCCATCTCCCAAATGAACAGTGAAATATTAATTTTGCACAAAGAACTCAGGCAAACCGGAGAAATCTCCAGACTGCTACATAGGCATACTCCAGTAGCGAGTGTGCAACCAGTCTTTCGATCTAAGTGAGCGCTATCTATCGCCAGCCAGCCTTCTGAGAGACCAGGCTGTCACATCGACCCACTATAATTTGTACTGGTATGAACTATACCCGATGTGGCTGCTAGGAGCACCATTGTGATTGAATCCTAAGGGGCTCCTATCCGTGTCCTCCCTAGGTTGTCGAAACGGAAATATGTTTTGCAGGGAACCGTCCGTAAAGGTCTGGACAGCTGGCTAAGCGAGGAGTTCATTGTACATCGAGGCGCAGGGATTCAGCGAAAAACGGCAGCCAGTCGATAATGTGTCCAGAGGAAGTAAAAGGGAAAGGGACAACGTAAATGCGCAGCTATTCACATTGGGGTGTTATGAAGAAGGTACGAGGCTGTTTATGGGTTTTCAAAGCTTTTGTTCTCTTGGATTATGATAAAAGTTTACAGGAGTGTGAAAATAAAACATGCTGTGAAAGTCATGCTCTACGGAGAATAACAATAACACAGTCTGGGAAACGAGCGGGGAGTTTGACATTCCTACCACGTCGGTTGATAACGGGTCGAGTAGGGATGAGGTCGGTTGTAGCTACAAAGTTCCGCTGGAGCAAAACTACTAGTCTGCGGCTGTGGAATTAGCCATGATGACGCTTGTTGCACTGGACAGTCAGACTCGCCAGGAAATACTGCTTTGAGTTGGTCAGTATTGATCACCTCAGTTTTACCATTGTAGCCAACGGTAAATATCTTGCCTGTTCTACGTGAATACAGAAGTGGCCATAGAGAGGTCGAAATGATCATCGTAGGCTGTGAGTGCGAACTAATGCTTGGGTTCAAGTGGCTTGGCGTTCGTCTAGGTTGGTGCACAAGCTCTGTGCTCTGCGTTGCACAGGCAACCAAGTACGTTGGGAAGTTCGCTGAATATACGTTATAGTATGATCCTTTTTCGGTTATGACTACGCTAAGGCAACCAAATAGAGCTACCCAGCTTTGTAGGAAGGCGCGTACAACAGTCTCATCAGATGAGCAGTCAACCATCGGAATCGCTTCTATCTAACGTGTAAATCTGTCGATACATGTGAGGAGGTCCATTAAGTCATTGTATGGTGGCAAAAGACAGACTAAGTGAAGGTGAACATGAACGAAAATAGTGTCAGAAGCAGAAAAGGCATCGAGTGCGCTTTTGGTGTATCCGTACACTTTGCCGCGCTGGCACTCAAATCACCTGTGAGCCTAAATGCAAAAGTCGCGGTTAGGATCTTTTCAGAACCACAAATGTCGGGAATTCACAAATTGTGTAGCCCTTTACTAAGTGCTCTGTGCATTGTTGTTGGAGCTACAGGGCGTGGAGAGATTTTTGAGTCGAACTCGCTTTATTGCCCACCCGGTTTAGAGCCCACCCCGCTTTATTTCCCAGTTTTTCAAACTATTATGATGAAAGCCTTATCAGAATTACAACTAAAATCCTGTTACTTGTGAGTAATAGAAAATAAAAAGGACCTCTCCTAGTTTCAAATGCTATGGATATAGCGTCTAGTGAGAGGACGTCATCACCTCGTAGGATAACCACTGTCAGTGACAGTGGTAGATAGGTGGTGCTATATCCCAGTTAGTTTGCAAATTATGTAGCCCAACCAACGTCCCCCATGGCTCAGTGACTTAAGCTGCTGGCTACTTGGCATCTTCCTCTAGCTGTCATGGGTTCGATCCTTCTTAGAGGATCGAGGGAATGCGCGCCACTGACGAGCCCCAATAGGGCGAAACGCGTCTGGCGCTTTTCCGGACTGGGCTCTGCTGTGTAACTTGTGAACTATTGGGATGAAAGCCTTATCAGAAATACAACTAAGATCCTGCTACTTGTGTGTGAATAGAAAATACAAATGCATTACTCTTAAATATGATAATTTTCACCGTCAAATTTTCCATTGCCGGGACCGTCCCACCGCTTAATTGCCAAGCTGCGTGGGCTGTGCTCTTGTCGCTTTGTCAATTTTACGCCCTCGCTCCGACTAACTTTTATTACGATTACCCCACAGCTAGCCAGTCCGATCGAGTCAAGAACAACGAAGATATCGGCGATGTTATTAACTTATCAGAATATCTTACCTACATCATTCAATACACGATCATGCTAAATGTACCGACGGATGTGGATCAGTTCTCGGCCATAGTAGAAACTCGAGAACTCAGTAAAGTCGGGTAATCTTTCCGCTCTAGCTTTGTCAGTACTCCATAGGTTGCACACAAGTATGACCGGTAAAAGGCGTTGTCCTTGACAGAAAAGTTGGACCTTTTTGGACTAAATTGAAATTTATCCCCCAGAAAACTCTCAAGACAAGTTGTCGTGAGATTTACACATTTCTCGTAATACCCTAGCCAGGTTGATTGCCAGGAACTCCGGTAGAATTTGTCGCATGGCACTGCAAACTCTCACAAATGGAAGCGATGTGGGAAGGATGAAGGTTGAAACTACATTGAAAGACTGAATGATATCGGTTCGTTAGCACAACCAAACAGTTACAGACCCGCTGCTGAAGTAAAAAGGCAGAATAATTCCGAGAAAGACATGGAAAAACTTTTGCTGCCGCAGAAGTATGGTTGCAAAGATGGAAGAATATAAATCAAATTGTGTATAAACGCACGCATAATGAAAAGACCTCCGCGGACAGAGTAGTATGTGAAAACTGGCTGAAGGTAGACTGCATTAACTTTTAAGTGCATTTGATGATGACAACGTGTAAAATGCAGACAAAACAAGTCTTTTTATCAAGAAACCTTAGAGAGCTCCTTTTGTTCTCGTGCCGACGAGCTCAGCGGATCAGAAAAAAACATGGATAGGATCATTCACCCGTGCTGCGCGAATATGTCAAGCACGGCTAAAAGAAAGCTGGTTTTGATTGGAAAATGTAAGAAACCACGAGTGTTTTAATGGCGTGAACGTGGACACAATTATCGTGTATTACAGAGCTAACAAAAATGTACGGATGACGAAAGAACTATCCACCGAATAGGTCTTCGAACGGAACAAGCAGTTAGGCAAAAAGTTAGGTTGCTCTTGGATAATTGCACAGCACATCCACAGGTAGAAGGCCTGAAAAACTTTCAAATGAAATAGTTCCCGACAAACACGGTCAGCATTCTTCGACTCATGGACCAAGGCGACTATGAATCTGAAAATCCGTTGCAGAAAAGAAATTGTGGACCGGATTCTTTATCACATCGAAAACAACGTGTTATCTGGCTCATCCTAGGCGGTGGATGTCAGCGCCAAGATTTCTGTGCTCGATGCAACTCAGCACGTCTCAAACAGTTGGAGGTAGGTTATCGACACAACAATAATAGCATGCTTTCGGCATGCTGGCTTCAGTCGACTGGCATCCGACGCACCTTTCGATGACGCCGTCATCGCTGAGGACGAGATCAGCGCTTGCACAATACCAGTCGTCAGTGCAGAAGAGTTCGTTGACATTGACGACGATGTGGCATGTACCTCATATCTGACAACTGTTGAACATGAAATCGTCAATAACATTTTAGAGCATCAACTAGAATAGACAGAAGGCAGCGACTCAGTGGATGACGTGCCAGATGCCTCCGTGAGTAACAGCAATCTGCGCGTTTCGCATTCAAGAGCAAAGAACTGTGTGAAAAATCTCTATAACAACGGAATTTCACAGGGCTAGGCAGCGATTTCTTGCCCAAATTGCACTGCATCAGTGCGAAAGTGACTGGAATAGCAGCTTAAAATAATGTACAACTGACGCTGGGTTGTTTTCTCGGCAAAAATATACAGTAGCGCCAATTTCTATAGCTACCCAAATAAGATGCTTCGTAATACTTTATAAATTATAGTTCTTGTTCTGTTGAATATACGTCTTTTGTAGGCTTTAGTTGTAAGTAAGTATTTTATACTTCTTAGCACGTTACAATTCGAGTGATATACTGTACAATTATTAAATTGTTGTTTTCCTTTCCGAAAAAATGACAGTATCGGTTAATTGCCCAAACCGCTTAATTGCCCACTTTTGAAATATCCCGATGGTGGGCAGTAAAGTGGGTTCGACTGTATGATGATAGTGGAAATTCTCGTAGTTTCAGAGGTGTTGCGTTGCAACTTATCTTTGCCGGGATCCGATTGCTGGGCGACTAGACCGATATTGGTCACCTGAGGCAAGCAGATCTAGTGGATTCGTGAAAGAGCCTCTGCGACGGGATTAAGGACGTTTGAAACTTGACTTACTTCTGTCGGGAACTGACAGACGTAGTCCAGGTGCCAAGGTACTTGCGGAGAATATTTGTCTGTTGCACCAGTGATTGCGTACATCAATGGTTTTTGGTCCTTGAAGACCGTAAAGTGTTGA